AGCGGAAAACTCAAGAGAACACGTGCTTCCCTTTTTCTTTCTAGAGGGGAAGAAGGGGGAACTGAGGGAATTTAAGCCTTTGTCCACCTAGGAGCCTGGGTAAGATTTTTTCCTTCTGCTCTTGGACCAGCACCAGCACAAGAGTGGGAGACACCAAGAGAGCCCCTCTCTTTCCCACCCAGAACTGTAATAATCTCAGAAACTTCCTGAGCTCCCAGCTCCTACTGATCTTGTCCACCCTCCGGCTCCCTGTCTTCCTCTGCTATCATCAGATAAAGGTAAAGGATTTGAGTTTCCTGACAGATGAAAGCCTTAGAAAGGGAGAGGAGAAAGGACAAGGGCAAGATGGAGAGTGGGATTTTTAGGGTTAGAGAGGGGGGAGGAAAAGAAAACCAACTAATGGGCTTCTTGGTTTGAGTCCGTGGACTCCACTGGGTCCTGAGGGTAGAATCAGTTATCACCTGAATGACCGCTAGAGTCTTCTCAGACTAGCAGATGTTCCCAGCCACCCAAAAGGGGAGCTGTGGCCTCATGCTCCTTGATTTAGACAGTGAGAGAGCTGAGGGAAAGGAGAGGGGGGAGGAAAAGAAAACCAACTAATGGGCTTCTTGGTTTGAGTCCGTGGACTCCACTGGGTCCTGAGGGTAGAATCAGTTATCACCTGAATGACCGCTAGAGTCTTCTCAGACTAGCAGATGTTCCCAGCCACCCAAAAGGGGAGCTGTGGCCTCATGCTCCTTGATTTAGACAGTGAGAGAGCTGAGGGAAAGGAAAGAGAGAGAGAGAGAGAGAGAGAGAGAGAGAGAGAGAGAGAGAGAAGGAGGAAGAGGAGGAGAAGGAGGTGGTCGTGGTGAGAAAAAGGACATAAGCTGTGTTTTAGAGGCTAAGTGGCTAAGGGAATTGATGAAGAAAAAAATGAAAAGCCTTTGGCTATATTTACCGAAGTTGAGGTTAGTGATGCCTCTTTACCTCCTGCTACTGGCTGCCTAAGAGAGAAATATCACTGGGCAAGGTCTGAGGAGGCTCCCAAAGTGGAGATGGAAATGTGAAACCTACCCTACCTGTAGAATAAGTATCAGGTTCTCTGACTCCTGTTAGGGAAAAATAATTTTCAGGATGCATCAAGGAGAACCATAAGGGATTCATTGGGCAGAAATTTAAAAGTGTACAATCAAAGAAATGGAGTGGATGTTCTCAAGAAACAGAGGCCACATTTCATCATTTCTTAAAGGAACTGCAGGTCCCATTAGTAAGGAAACTATTTAGGAGCCGGGGTGATGGCCCACTCCTGTAATGCCGGTACTCTGGGAGGCTGAGGCAGGATAATTGAGAGTTTGAATCCAACCTTGTTACTGGGCTTAATTAGTATAGTGACTTAGTGTGATTCAGTCCCTTTAAAAAAAAAAAGGGCTGAGGATTTAGCTCAGTGGTTCTGGTGCCTGCCTCACAAGCACAAGGGCCTGAGTTTGATCACCGGTTCCAAAAAGAAAAAAAAAAAAAAAAAAGGAAGACTGGGGTTGTAGCTCAGTGTGAAGGCTCTGGCTTTAATCCCCAGTACTAGGAGGAAAAAATAGAATATTTGAAATCCAAGATTTGAGTGCTAATTGTTCCCTTGTACTGATCTCCACATTTTTCTTTTCTTTTTGCAACTCTCGGTGGGGATCAAACATGCAGCCTTGCTTGTGTTAGTCAAGCTCCCCACACAGAGCTCTATCGGTGACCTACTTCATGTACTTTTGATTCTGTCTGTGGCGTGCCTCTACATATTTTAGTAAACCAAACTGTGTCTTTCCTAAAATTTTCATATATTTTACATCGCTGGTCCCGAAAATGTCTAAGACCAGAAAACCTTGCCTTTAATCTTAGCTCCACCGTATCTTCCTACAATTATTTTATCCTCTAAAGCCTGCATAATTACTAGCTCTTCTGATAAGCCTTTTCCAATTCTCTGGCTGTCCAGTTTTACTACAAGTGCCCCTGAAATGAGCATAAGCCATCTTTAATTTGTCTTTTTAGAGCACTTTGCCTGAGTTTCTATTTTTATCATGTTTTGCGTGCTCCATTGAAATGTACCCTTTGATTGTAAGAACCATACTCTAGTTATTTTTATGTCTTCCTTAGTACCTACTTTAATTTTCTGATAGACTATGTTCTAAATATTTGGATTCAGAGGGGCAAACTGGGATAGGCCTTCAGTCCAGCCCAGGTAGGGAGTTGGTGGAAATTAAAATTTTTTTTTTTAAATTTGAGATGACCTTTCACTGTGTTTCCAGGCTGGTCTTTAATTCCTGGGCTTAGGTGATCCTTGCTCCTCAGCTTGCCCAGAAGTTGGGACAGTAGGCACATACCCTGGGCCCGATTGTTGGTGGAACTTCTCATGCCATGTGTCACTTTGCTCCAGGTTTAGGATTTCTACAAATGTGTGGAGTTTTAAGGTTTCAGTGACATCTTGTCTCCCCCTTCATTTCAATTAATGATGCTTCATGTTCCTGTTCTCTATCCCCATCATCCTCTTCAATATTTGGGAGGCCTCTCTGTTTAGATTTCGCATTCTATTGGATTCCTTTCAAGCTTTTCTTAAAACCAACCATTTTTATTTATCTATTTTGTTGTTTTGGTACTGGGGATCAAACTCGGGTCCTTGTGCTTGCAAGGCAGGCGGTGGAACCACTGAGCTAAATCCCCAGCCCCAAACCAACCATTTTATTGAAACTTTTCAGATGAATTCCCATGGCTCATTGATGATGGTTGTTCTAGAACCACCTTGTCTACATCAGAGTTCAGCTGGGCGTGGCCATGCACAGCTGAAATCTCAGCTCTCTGGGAGGTTGAGTCAAACTCTTGAGTCAGTAATTTAGCATGACCCTGCCTCAAAATAAAAATTAAAAAAAGGGCTGGGAGTGCTACGGTCCTGGGTTCAATCCCCAGTACTTTACCCTCTTCCCCCCAAAAATAAGAGTTAGGCAGACCTATTTCGGGACAGAATTAGACTAGAACTGTTTTGGAGATGATGGGCTATATGGTTTCTGTCCCAGTTACTCAGCTCTGTTATGGGGTGCAAAAGCAGCAGTAGCTACACAGAAATGGACAGGTATGTGGCTGTGTCCTAGTAAAAAACTTATGGACATTCAATTGGAATGTGTTCTTTTGTCACTAATATTCTTTTAATTTTTTAAAAGTCATTTAAGTTTGTAGAAACTGTTTTTAGTCCATGAGCTATATAAACACAGGCTTCTGGTTGAATTTGGTCTCTGGGTCATAATTTGTCGACTCCTGGTTTAAATCATGTCTGTGCCAAGCTTCTAATGTTGAGCTGGGCCAATTCTGATATGACTTTGAATTGTGTAACAGCAAATAATGGCTTTCCTAAGATTATGTCCTTGAGAGTTTTTAAAAGTAGAACATTTGAGTCTGAAAGAAGAGAAACATGGTAGAATTTCAGGTTGGAATTTGAAACAAAATGTATTAGTGTTGAACAGTCTTGGGTCTTGTTTAAGAAGTTAGTGACTAGAACTGGATGTGGTGACAGTGGGTGTGGGTAGTAGTTCCAGTTACTCAAGAGAATTGAAGCAGGAGAATTTCTTGAGCCCAGGAGTTTGGGGTCAGCCTGGGCAACACAGTCAGACATCTTAAAAACACACAAAAAAATTAGTTACTATAACATATGAAGACCTTGTATAGCTTATGTACTATATACAATAAATTAAAATGATTATTTATTTGTACCATCACTTAAGTGAACTTTGAAGTTGCTCTCCCATTGCTTCTCAGCCTTTTGGCTAAGATCAAATGTGAAGTTGCTGTCCCATTTACTCAGCTCTGATAGCCACTTTAAAGAATAAGATCATCAGGTGTGGTAGTGCATACCTGTAATCCCAGCACTTGGGAGGCCGAGGCAGGAGGATCACCTAAGTTCAAGGCCAGCCTGGATTACATAGTGAGTTCAAGGCCAGCCTGAGTTACATAGCAAGACTCTGTCTCTAAACAAAACAAAACATGCCTGGAATCCCAGCACTCTGGGAGGCTGAAGAGGACAGCAAGTTTCAGCCCAGCCTGGGCAACTTAGTGACTTAGTGACATTCTGTCTCCAAAAAAAGAAAGAAAGAAAAAAAAAAGTTGGTGTTGGGGCTGTAGTTCAGTTTGAAAGCTTTAGGTTCAATCCCCTGTATTCAAAATACAAAGTAAGATCTAATTTTCAGACTTAAAGAATATTGGAGACTAAAGAATAGATATGAATTATACTGACATTTGTACTTCATTGATATTGATATCAGATATTTTTGTCTCAGTTGAGTAACATTAAATCTCTTGAGTGTATACAATATATAGCAATACTTGATTATAGTGTCTTCCATTCTAGAAGTTACTAAACAATACAATACAATGCATTGTCATTAAAATATATTGCACATAGATACTAATTCATGAGTGAATATATGGAACAATTTTCATGGCAAGTTAAGTGAAAGAAAGGCAACAAAACTGCATTTTTCCATTTGAAAGGAAAAAATAGTATAAATAAAATAAGTTTAGAGGGATATATACAAAAGCATTAATTGGTGATGGATTTATGGACTGTAAACATATTATATGTCTTTTTTTTTTCCAGTAGTGGGGATTGAACCTAGTGACTTGCGCATACTTGGCAAGCATTGTACCACTGAGCTACACCCCTAATCATTATATATATATGTATTTGTTGTTTTATTATTTTATACTGAATTTTTTTTTTTACGTTACTGGGGCTCGAACTCAGGACCTTGTGCTTGAAAGGCAGGCATGGTGCCACTGAGCTAAATCCCCAGCTCTTTTTATGCTGAAATTTTAGTGCTATAGTCCAACAAATTATTTTTCACTTGAAAATTTTCAGCTGCTTCTCTAGAATTCATGTCATTTGAGTTAGTAAATTATGTTTTAACAAAGTCAAGTAATATTTGATTAGAGTGCTTTTTTAATGTTGAAAGTCCTTTAAGCTTTTCTCATTTGCAATTGTTTTTCAGGGTGATGATGACGCTTACATGTGTATCCGTGAGGACCAGACTGTACATATCCAGCCTTCCCATTTGACAGGACGAAGTCACCCTGTGATGGACTCCAGTGTGAGTGTGAACATCTGAGACCCTCTCCCTCCTGGCCACCATCCTCTCTGTAGCTGTCCTCTGCTATGTGGCTGTCGGGGCACAGCCACACAACAGCCTTCGACCCCTTCAGTGAGCAGCCTTGTCTGGGCAGGGGCCGGGCAGCAGGATTCCTCTCATAATGATCCGAGTAACTTTTCTACACTTTAGAAAGCACAAGACAAGTTTCTTTTATATGAAGAGATGAAGTCTTGCTATGGCATTTAAATCCTTGTTGCACCTGATTAAAAAAAAAAAAAATTCTAGTTTTGTTATCGTGGTCAGAGCATTGGCCCCCTTCCAAGAGCTTACTCTTGTATTTCAGAAGAAGCTTATGTTGGTGACAGAAGGACTTCTTGACTAACGAGAAGGAGGAACATGTATGTTCCCTTGGGAAGTTGTCTTAAGTGCCCTTTGTTGGCAGCTGTGCCAAATGTAGGCCATTTCTGGTAGAGAAATGTCTTTTTCACAGGGCAATTGACAAACAAATGAGCTCTGAAGGAACAATAGCTATTACTTAATGACATAGTAAATGCTATCTGCCTGAGGAGGCATCACTCAATGATGTAACTGTGCATAGCCTTCGTACAGGGCAACTCTCAGCTGGCTTGGAAACTCTCCCCAGATGCATGTTGCATTTTGGCCCCTAAGGTCCTACTGGGTAATCGTTTCTTCAGTGCTTTTCATTGTGAACTAGTGGCCAGATGGAATTAATACATCTGCTGAAGTTTCTAACCTGGGAGCTGTAGGGCTTGGCTCAAAGTAAAAATAACATTTTTGCCAAGTGGGAGAAAGATGAATAAATGGGGGAAAATGATTCTTGTACTTTTTACAGAGGAAGTGAAAAACAATGATATTACAGACAAAACATGCACATCCTGTCGTAGAGAAAGGAAATTGAACAGGCCAGGATTTTGATTCTGTCTTATTTTTAGCAAATTTTTGGAAAGTGCTAAGACTCATTGTGTGTGTTTTTTAGGGTTCTCTTGAGGATATGGCTTGGAGGTTGGTGGATGGTATTATACAGTGTTCTTTCAGAAGAAATATTACTCTTCCTGGAGTTAAGAATAGATTTGATCTAAACACAAGCTACTACATATTTCTAGCAGATGGTGTAGCTTCTGATGGTAAGTATATTGATAAAATGTTTTCTTCCTCTCCCTTTTTTCTCTATTTTACAGAGACTTACAATTGCTCGTTTTTAAGGTACATATTTATGGGTAAAGAGTTATAATCCTTTTCTGTTTTGTCTGAAAATTTGACTTTTAGTTAACCTGCTAACTTTGTTTCTCTGAGAATTCCATAAAGTATCAACTAGATGACAAGGCAACATTGTTTTGATCAGAATGGTAAAATGCATTTGGATGAGAAGAACTTTACCCTGAAAGAAGCCATATCTTTGGGTTTTCCTGAGTGTACTGACATAGGCGTATCTATTGCAAGGATCCTAAAAATAGTGCCTTTGTGGTTGTTGCAAGAAATACTGGCTCTTTGGGGGAAACCTGCCTGATATGAATTTCATCTTGTTGGTTAGCTGTCTCTGTCTCAAAAAACCAAAAAAAAAAAAAAAAAAAAA